TAAGTAAGTAAGTAAGTAAGTAAGTAGTAGTATTAACTTAATGGAGCTGAGCCCTTCTTGAGAAGCCACAAGTTGAGCATCTACTCAAGAACTTCCCAGCATTTTATGGAACCCGAAGGTTCATTACCGTGTTCACAAGAGCCCTCCACTGGTCCCTATCCTGAGCCAGATCAATCCAATCAATACCATCCCATCCTATCTCTCTAAGATCCATTTTAATATTGTCCACTCACCTGCGTCTTGCTGGTTTCTACTGGTCTCTTTCCTTCTGGTTTTTCCACCAATATCCTACAGGCGTTCGTCGTCTCCATTCGAGCTACTTGTCCTGCCCATCTCATCCTCCTTGACTTTATCACTCTAATTATACTTGGCGAATAGTACAAGTTATGATGCTCATTATTATTGTTATTATTATTAATGTTGTTGGGCCAGCATAGTTCAGTCGGTATAGCGACTGGCTAAAGGTTGGACAGCCGAGGAGCCTGAGTTAGAGTCCCGGTAGTGTCAAGAATTTTCTCCTCTCCACGGCGTCCAGACCGGTTCTGTGGTCCACCCAGCCTCCTATCCAATGGGTACCGGGAGCTTCTTCCTCAGGAATAAAGCAGCCAGAGCATGAACCTGACCGCTCACCTCCAACTAGTGCCGAAGTGAAGAAAACGTGGATCTATACATTCACTCCCCTTACGCCTTCATGGCGTAGTGCTTAATTAGTTAGGCGCAAGGACAACTTCACCTTGCTTTTTATCTCGTTCTTGTGTCACACGGCTTTAGCCCCGCAGCACCGCATTTTGTGCAGCGGGCTGTCTAAGTTGTGCGCCTTGCCTGTCTCTAAAAGCCAGGACCCCATGCACATCCAGTTGCTGTCAGCGTCATTAAGTAAACAATGAAACCTCGGGAACACTAGCCAGCCGGGCGACCGGTGCCGTTGCTGAACTCTCGGCACGCTGAGCTGGACAGGCACCTGTCGAGACACATCTGCGCGAACCTGCCCTGGAAGTCGTGTCATTTCTCTGTGAAGGTGCGAGCTTAGCTTGCAGTGTTGTGGCAGTCCCCGTGGCTTCACAGTCTGGTGATCTCACTGCATTAATGTTCAGCTTACCTAGTTTTTTGTCAAACGTCATTAAGCACTGACACCATGGGTGCCCTCGGAATTTTTTACAAGGAGTACGGGGCAGTCGGAAAATTACGATTCTATTAAGGAACGTTGAACGCTTTGTATTCAGAACAGGGTACTAATTACAGCAAATAGTTCTATAGTGCGAAAGCCACATTTGTCCGTCGCAGTTTCGTTGCTTGGAAACCGTTTAATTCATAAAGCGATCACTTGGCAATAAATACACGTAATATTGGCCAACGGAAGTACGTATATATTCATACTAATATTCACACTAGTTACGTAGTTCTGTTATTTAAACAGATTTTATATTAGGAAACATTCGGGCAAATGGGGAATGAATGTGTTATCTGGATTGAAATGGCTCGGGATAAGCTCTTGTGAACACGGTAATGAGCCTTCAGGCTCCATAAAAAGTGGGCCTGTTAGATTCTCAAGAAACACCTAGCTACACGAACTAGGTTTTACTACGGATGGTGTAAACTCTTCAAATATAGGATGTCCGGATGAAAGATATCCAAAATAAAAAATTTATATCTCGGAAAGTAATTGTCATACACGTATCCGGTTTATGTCACCGGAAAGGAAAACCCTGCAAGTTTTTTTTTTCTTTTTCATAGTCGGCTTACGCGCAAGCGCCGCCACATTTTTGCCACCATGCTAGGAATCACCTGGACAGAGAGACGGCTGGGATATGAATTCGCAGAGGTGGACCAACTGCTTGGCCTTCTAGGTCGCGAGATTTAACCCCAGTGGAATTTTTCTTGTGGGGTTTTGTGAAGAACAGTGTCTACCAGGTTAAGATCAACGACCTGCAACACCTGAAAGCCCACATAAGGGACGCTGTGGCTATGGCAACACCAAACATGCTTCAAGCCTGGATATTTGTCGTGCCACCAAGGGAGCCCACATTGAAATTTATTGAGAAAGTTATATACTCAGAAAAAAACTTTCATAGTTTCCCATTGTAATGGTGTAACCCATTAATGTGTATAATAATTTCTTTTACTTTGGATACCTTTCATCCGGACATCCTGTATTTTCTAATTTTTTGCTTTATTATGTTCAGCACCTCATATGATGTCAGCAAATCACTGAACGATGCTTCTGTTCCACAGAAACCATCCCGACAAACACAACTGTCACCGCTGACGCATGGCCGGCCGTTCCTACGTGTCTCTTTCTGACCAGATCAAAGGTCAGCCTTCTTGTCCCCGACACATTGCTTCCAGCAGAGAAATCAGAAGCGAGACCAGTCGCAAGTGCGTGCTGCTCGATCTGTCAGCTCCGCCATCAAGTGGTAACTGTGCCTTTGTTCGGTTTAATTCAATTACGTCATCACGTATGAAGTCAACACTGGAAGTCCTCAGTCGAGGTTTATCGGAATGGATTGTAGCGTTGGGAGTCATGAGTCTGGCGAGCAGAACTCAACAAGAGGGCCTTCTCAGTTTCATTTCGGAAGGACCGCTCGTTGCACAAAAAATGTTAAGGATGTTGTTGTTGACAGAAATGTGATGATTCGTGGTGATCGTGTTTGTGGTATGAATGGGCACTGTGCAATCCGGAGCGACGCCAAACAATGCGTTGATCTGGTTAGCCATCTAAAACTGGAAAGAAACCATAGTATTAAAAGAAGTGTCCAGTTTCATGAGGAACCTTCTGGAGTCGTCGCCAATGGCGTCACCGCGCTTGAGGACTTGCCGTTAGCAGACCAAGTCTCTTCTGCAGTCAGCAACTTGCTCTTGACCAGAGGAAGCCTCACCTCTACGCCCAGTCAGTGTGGGAATTGTTTCAGTGATGGAGACGATACGGAGGACGAATCCTCACTGGAGGAACAGTTTTCAGATCGCCAACCACCGGACGGCGGTTGGGGTTGGGTCGTGGTGGTTGCTGCTTTCGTCACGAACCTAATCGCCGACGGTGTGACATTTACATTTGGAATCATCTACGTGGATCTGTTACGTTATTTCGGGGAGGGGAAAAGTAAAACTGCGTGGATTGGTGGACTCTTCATGTCGATGCCGTTAATATCAGGCCCAATCGCTAGCTACCTAACGGATCGTTTCGGATGTAGACGCGTCTGCATGTTTGGATCGGTACTTTCCGCGTTTGGATTCGTTATTAGCTCGTATGCGGAATCCATAGAGCTACTGATATTTACTTTCGGCATCGTGTCTGGTTTCGGCTTGGCGCTGTGCTACGTCACTGCCGTGGTTATTGTTGCGTATTATTTTGAGAAACGCCGTTCCCTAGCAACGGGCCTGTCCGTGTGTGGCAGTGGTATAGGCACGTTCCTATTCGCGCCACTGACAACGTTCCTGGTCACGGAGTACGGGTGGAGGGGTACAACATTGATTCTTGCGGGACTGTTCCTCAACATGGCTGTGTGTGGGGCGCTGATGCGTGATTTGGAGTGGACCAAAGAGAAGTCAAAAGCCCTGCGCAGAGACCGATTACAGAAGAACAGAGATAAGCGGAAAAGCAGAGCCTACAACCAGTCGCTGAAGACGGCTGTTTCCAGCTCGGCGCCACTTACTCAGAAAGAACAGCCCCAGAGGTTTCCTGACGCGGCGGAGTTCAAACGACTGCTTCAGACAGGAGAAGCTCAAGGTAAGGAGGCTCCACTGCAGCGATGGCCGGCCACACATTTCCATCTCCTCTTCAATTATAACAGCTTCATAACTTGTACTCTTCTCTAGGTGTAATTAGAATGATCAAGTCAAGGATGATGATGTGGGCAAGGCATGTAGCACGAATGGAGGAGAGGAGGAATGCATATAGGATATTGGTGGGAAAGCTAGAATGAAAGAGACCACTGGGAAGACCAAGGCGTAGGTGGATGGACAATATTAAAATGGATCTTAGAGAGATAGGTTGGGATGGTGTGGATTGGATTGATCTGGTTCAGGATAGGAACCAGTGGAGGGCTCTTGTGAACACGGCAATGAACCTTCCGGTTCCATAAAATGCTGGGAAATTCTTGAGTAGGTGCACAGTTGGCCGCTCCTCAAGAAGGGCTCAGCTCCATGAGTACTGTACTTTAATTATAACACCTCAGCTTTCTCAAAATTCCTCCACAGTTGTCGGATTTGAGGTTGTCACAGATGTGGCTGTGAAGCCCACTTGCTATGTCGGCCACTAATTGGCCTATTGTACCAGCCCCGGATGATGATATGATGAGTGTGGAGCAGTCGGTGGAATGAGAATTGGCAGGGGAAACCGAAGTACACGGAGAAAACCTGCCTCAGTCCCACTTTGTCCACCAAAAATGTCACATGACCTGACCCGGGCTCGAACGCGGGCCTCCGCGGTGGGAAGCCGGTGACTAACCGCCTGAGCTATGGCAAGGCCATCTTTGAAAGGTTAAGCCTTTTGTTCAGTTTTGAAACCATTAGGTTGGCAGCATGAACTTGGATAACATGGCGGCAAATTTAAAAGTTATACAGTCGCCCGTTTATACGTAATTACGTCAGATAGTTATGCTTGCTTTTGAATTATTATTTTATAGGCTGTATGCTGGGAGACGTATCAGGAAGAAAGACTGAAACATCCAGAATTGGAATGGAAGAAGCAAAACGCCAGTGCAGTTCAGTGCTGAACTTGCCAACATTCATCTGTAATGGTGAGAAGGTTCCTTTTGAAGTTTTGGAACGTCTGACTTCAGATCAACTCTATCCGAGCCTTCTGGCAGGATCGCGAAGCTTCAGTGACAGCGGACGCCTCCATGAAAACAAACATTTTGCTGCCAATCACACAGCGCCTCCGTCCCCTCTAGTCATCATTCCACATCCGTCCCTCCGACGCGCGTCTTGTATCGGTTACCATGACAGAAAGGCGGACAAGGAGTTGCCCAAGAATGCAACAACTGAAGAGGCATATTTGTGGTGGTTAAAGAAGATTCAGGATTGTCACCATTGTCATTATCACCATTCCAGCAGGAGAAACTCAGCCTCACACAGCAGAGACTTAAAATTTCCTAGGTGAATTCATTGTCATTTGATACATATCAGTTTTCAGTAATTCCTTGCTTTTATCTGTTGTTTTGTATGCAGGCAAATGTGGGTGCCACCAGAATTTTTTTCCCCAGTGGTGGGAGGTTCAATCAAACTGAGGCTGAAGATTTATTTTTACTGATTGCCCGAGAGTATTCAGGATAAAAGAATAATTTAAAAAGTGTATTAATATTCTGTGTATTGCTTTCCTGTTTTATTTTTTTTATATCAATTCTGGGTGGGGGCAATGACGCCCCGCCCCGCGTCTGGCCCCGATGGGTGTGAACCTTTGCCTCTCACTTAACCCCTTGGGACCTTCTGTAAGTGACATGTTCCATGGCCTTGAGGATCCATCCAACAATTTGAAGCCTGAAGCTAATCTGAATAACATATACAAATTGCTACTTCACAGAAAACACACTAAGCCTGTATTTCAAAGCCCAGCCAGTTATTGCTGTTTAGGGAAATAATCACTGTTTCTTCCAAGGATTGTACGGAACAAGTACTGTGTAGTCAGAATGCAGAATGTTTGAACGTTAGGAAGGTTTGTGGTATATGTAGTGAGTGCCAAGATTTCAATGGTTAAATACCCAAAGGCTGAATCAGATCCTTGACGTAGCTCTTTAACTGTTCACTGGGCCCACAGGTCAGGCTTGTTGATGTACAGTGATTTAGGGGAAGATGTGAGAGAAAGAGTTTCTTGATTTTCTCAAATCTGACTGGCCAAATGAAATGCAGTTCACAACATAAAATTCAGACATCTGTAAGATCCACAAATTTGAGCTGATATACATGCATCAGTAATGCTGCATATGCTCTCTGGATATAAAATAAGTAAGACAGTTCATATGAATATGTGCCTTGAGGCCTTCCTCTTAACAGTTATAACCAGGGCCTGGATTTTGATGACATGTCATCTTTTTTTCCTTGTATCCTATGCGATTCTCTTAAATATATAAATCTCGGATATGAGCTGCTGGTTACAGAAATGTAAATTTTATAGGTCATTTTTTCATTTTGGGGGTAATTTTTTGATAAATTTTTGGACACTTAAGGGTATTTCTCGTCATTTTTGGCCATTTTATGGAATTTTTCTGAAATGTGAATAACATAGAAGCGAAGTGTTCTTTCTTTTCTCCTTTAGGTCATTTTTCTGGATTTTTTAATATTTTCAGATCATTAAAATCCGGGCCCTGCATATTACATTTTTGGGTCATATTTTAGGTCATTTTTCTGGATTTTTAAATATTTTCAGGTCATCATAATCTGGGCCCTGGTTATAACCATTAGAAAATGTTAGCTCCTGTCATCACATTCTTGGGGGGGGGAATAACGTTCTGAGAGAATTTCGTTTGTGTCACGTGGTGATTGTAGAGGTCCATTTGACATGAACTTTCTATTGAGTTTACAGTAACTGTTTGTCCTACGGAATACACAATTGTTAAGCGGACAACTAAGTATCCCTATAGTTATGGTTTCTTGGCTGTGTCATGTTTCCTCCTCATACTAAAGTATACAAATTACTGCCCTAAAGAAATGTTTCCTTTTGTTTTCATTTCAAATAAAAAAATTTGATTTGAAGCCCCATTGTAGCCCCTGGAGGTGCTCAGTTATATTTTATATTTATTACAGACATTCTCTGACATACCGTGGTGCAATGTTGAACTTGAAAAGACACCGCCAGCGTGCTTCTTCGTGTCCAAATATCTATCGGAGTCCCACAAACACAATATCCAGCAGTGAAGTTGAGGTATGGCAAAATAACAAGAAGTTGGTAATGTTTCAGATTTTTTTGTTTGTTTCATAGCTATCACCTAACAGTCAAAAATCCACATTTATTGAGATTGTCACATCAGTGGATATTAATATTATGGTTTCCTGGGACGCGACACTGTGCAGCCTGGTAGAAATTTATAATATTATAATTTTCATTTTGTGCATCCTGTTGTGTTACAATATACAACTCTTTATTGACCATCACAACACATCAAACAGAAAAAATCAAGGACAGTGCCCAGCTATGGTTTCGCTACATGTTTCAGCCACTAANATATTTCTTTTATATAAGAATGTATAGGAGGCGCATGATGTTGCAAATTAATTAATTGTATAGTTGGTGCCTCATCTTACAAAGAATTGTCCATACTGTATGGAAAGTAAACAATATATTATATTATTATTAATATTATATTCAAGCATCCTGCTGCATTGAGGCTCCACTTATAGTCTATCAAATGTTCTGTCTATAATGCAACACTCAGTAACACTCTTCTGTTGCCTGAAGATGGCCTTATAAGGCCGAAACATATAGCATTATAATAATGCATATATTTTAATAGTTTTATATAACATCTTATGCACATAACGACCACTGTGTGATATTAAAGTGTGAATCAATGTTATTGATTGTTGCATTATAGATGGAACATTTGATAGACTTAAGTGGTAGAAATTTACTGACATTTGCAAGGAATGTCACCCAGTTTCCTTCACTGGTCTTTGGTCAGTGTTCTGGACCTACACAATTGTGTGTCCAGGGTTTGTAAGGATTGACGGACAACAAAATAGGAGATGCATAAATCTACTAAGGCTAAAATCGAGGCTGCAGTGTGTGATACTTGTTTCAGTGGTTTGCTGGTTTCTATGATATATGGGACTTAATGGTGGATATGGTGGATGTTTCACACTTTGCCGACATCCGCTTTGTGCTGTTTGCTGTTTCTAACTTCCTGCTGTACTCGTGGTACCACGTGCCATACATGTTTCTGGCTGATAAGGCCGGTGAGATGGGCTTCTCAGAAGATGAGAGTTCCAACATCATCAGTTACCTCGGCATCTTCAACACAGTTGGTGAGGTAAGCACAGAATTGAGATGTTGCATCATTCGTAAAACACAACTGTATAAGTTTGAAAGACTGCAGTCTTCTGGGATATGACACAAGTGGTCCAGTAGATATTTCCCAACATTTCAGAGGAACCTGCTGCTACCATTTTCAGGATAGAAAAACTTTTTAGTAATATATGGAAGGAAAGACACTGATCGAGGCTGCAGTGTCTACGATCCTCTGTTTTGTGTTGTTATATGTTATTATGAGTACATGGATCTCTGAGTCTTCCAGGATATAACACCATGTAATCCACTGAAAGTCAACTGACTTTTTAGAGGAACATATTGCTTTCATCTTCAGGGCTGAAGAAAAAAAAACGCCAGCATGAAGCAGGTAACTTGCTCATTTTCTGCTTGGCTTACACTTTGATCCTGAAGATGGAGGCAACAACATCCTCAAAAAAAGTCGGTTCACTTTCAGTGTCCTGTATAACCCCTCATAAGCCACAGGTCATGCAGCTTAATCTCCATTTGCAGATTGTGCTTGGTTGGGCTGGGGACCAGCCTCGGCTGAATGCAAGTATGATTTATGCCCTCTGCATGGCTGTGTGTGGCATGATGACAGCAATCATGCCATTTCTCACATCCTACACTGGACTCTGCATTGTAGCCGGAGGTTTTGGCCTGTCCATTGCTGCGAACTACTCAATGGCATCTATCATTCTAGTGGAACTGATCACACTGGAGCGATTCACCAATGCGTATGGTCTGCTACTTCTTGTTCAGGGACTGGCTAATCTTGTGGGGCCCCCTCTAGCAGGTATGAAGTCATTATGCTTCACATGAAAGGTGAAACCTCTTAGGTACTGAAGAGTTCTATCTGCTGGGATGTAATGGCATGTAGTCTGCTGAAAGTCATCTGATGTTTTGGAGGAACATGTCAACTGCATCTTGCTGGTTTCTTGTGTGCCATATTCTTCGACCCGGAGGTACAGGTGACATGTTCCTCTGAAACATCAGCTGACTTTCAATGGATTACATGGTGTTATATTCTAGAAGGCAGAACTCTTCATAACCACTGCTGTGAGAATCTCAAATCCTTCTCCTAAATACTGCAATGTTTAACCATTTTACTTGAGCAGTAGATAGTAATGATGATATTGTACTGTTACTGAGTCCATCATCTGTATTTTGGAAACTGCATCTGTTTCCATCCTAAGATGAGGTCAGGAATTACCTACTCAGTTGGGCCCATTAGACTATTTCTGTGAATATAATATTTTATTATTGAAGTGAAATTGTCCTCCCTAAAGAAAACAATAACAAGAATGGTGTCTTCAGTAGCTTTTTATAACCACAGTTTGTGTTTGACAACACTGTCAAAGTGCCAGGGCAGTGGCCTCGGCACTCAAAAGGGCACTTGGGTGCCACCCTGGATATATATCAGGATACCTTGTGTGTAATTTAATGTAGGTTGGCTGTACGACACGTCAGGGAAGTATGACCTGTCCTTCTATCTGGCTGGACTCTTCATCATCCTGTGCGGTGCTCTTCTCGTGGTTTTGCCTGTCGTGAGATGGACCAAGCGACGGACAGGAGCAAATACTAATATATTCAGCACAACATCACTGAAAAGGAATGGACTTCCACAGCAGAACAATCTTATTTGCAAAGAAGATGGTGATATAAGATCCACAAGCCTCCTCTCAGCTTGCAGTCAAGAAGGAAATCCCGTGTGAGCATCTGATACAAGCAACAGTAAATTCTGATAATGTGTACAAGTAATTTTGTATTTTCCATATCACAGCATTGCTTACAATCTTGAACACATACATAAAAACTTCAAAAGCAACTTTTGGCATTGTGTTTATGTGAATGTTGGTAGTCATGAGCTCGGCAAGTAACAAGCACTTTGAACTTGTTTACATAGGCCAGAGAGGCTGAGAGGGGAATATAACAATAAGCAGAATGGGAAACATGAAGTGCTGTCATCCCCACCATCCCTGGGACTTCTTTCCATGGCCTCAGTATAGCTGCAAAAGCATCTTTAGGCAGATTTTCTTGTCCACTTTCGGTCTCCAGACTTTTTAAGTGAAGTGTATGGACACTATAATATATTAGTGCTTAAAACTTTTTAACATTTTTTGGTCCTGTAAAACGTGATTAAGAATAAAATGTCATGGTTGGTGGTTAACACTCCTGCCTCATATTTGGGAGGTCCTGAGTTCATATTTCAGCCCAGAGATCTCCTATTCTCACTGAAGTCTATTGTAACCCCCTCAATCCCTCCAGGCAAATACTGGGACAGTACTCCAAATTAAGGCTATAACCACTTCCTTTCCAGCTCATTATTTCATTGATAACCCCATCACTCAGGACTGTGTACTTTGTGTTCTGACAGCATCATAAAATAAATCATAAATATTACTGGAAGTGAAAGGCTCTCATGAAATTTTAACTGTAAATTTAAATAAGGACTTCAGTACTGTCTCTCATTGCAATCTATTTAGCCAAAGCAAAACAAATTTGCTTGATTTTAGCAGTCAGATGCTGGGACAGATCCATTATTGAAACGTTATTGTGTTCTTAACTTGTGTTGCTACCCTCAGTACTCCTTAACTCTTTGACTGGCGCGAAGGGTATTTAAATCCCACCCCTGTCCTGGCAGGCACTTTAAACCTTATGTCGCTAAAATGCATGTAGTTACTTTTTCCTAAATAACTTCAACAAAAATTGGTTTTTAAAAACGAAATTATCAGGAACTAATTAAAATACAATATTTTATGCAATAAATGCCTTTCCATACCTCTTTATTAGTTTTTCTTCGTGCGATAAACATTAAAACATGAAAGTTTGCAGAGAGCCACACCACAGCCTGCACACATGATACTTGTTTCTTTTCTAACCTTGTGCTTAGCACTCACGCGACATTTTCTCAAGGCAGCATTCTTCTTATTGTTACTGGGAGGAACATGGACCATTTTGTGAATTTTCAAGCCACACTCTAGACGATTTACTGGCTCTTTCACTGGTTGTCATTTCAAGGTCGAGGGCGGAGGCGTTACTGCACTNACCAGATGCTGGCTGCCCTGCTTTCTCCCTAGAAACACATACTGAAAGGTAATGTGTTTCTTTAAAAATTAGGTGAACCAAGCAAAAAGAATTCGTGAGGACATACAACTAGAAATGCTTTCGAACAGAACTCAGCTCAGACTTTCCAAGAAATCATCAGACATGCCAGCCACATTTCAGGAATATGTGATGATGCATATGTTTGAAAGCAATAGCTTCAAGTATTTTACTTATTATAATAATATCATGAGATTTTAAGAATACGGTCTTCTGGATTGTAATACCATGTAGTTTGGAGAGGGCCTTACGTTTTGGAGGAACATATCACCTCCATCTTCAGGTTTGGAGAGTAAACCAAGCAAGAAAACTCTAGAAGCAGATGGAAAGCTGAGCTTTTTCTGCTGGTTCCTTGCTTGGCCTACTCTCCAAACCTGCTAGATGGAGGTCATGCGTTTCTCTGAAATGTCAGATTGTACAAAAAAACTAGTAAGAACATAATATGGATCCATATGTGAATTAAGGCACAATTCAGTTAACTACTGCTTGTATTCATCATGCGCCTGATGATGACCCAAAACAGGGGTCGAAACATGTAGCGTGAACAACAAATAAAAACAAAATGTTGATGCATTGGTGTCTATTTTGTTGTTCTTTCAGAAGTACTGTTGTGTAGACTGCCCTTACTGTATATATCATATATCCTACATAACAGGAATTAATTGACTATGGAAGGTAATGTCTCTCCTGACCTTTTCAAACCGTGAAATTTCATTCGTCTGTGTAACACGTCAGATTTGACTGTTAATACTCAAGGTTACTTCTTGAAATGACCACATAAACTCATCGCAAAATATTCGTTTAAATTTACAATCAGAAGCATTTCGAACTTGCCATCTTGACCGCCATAGTTGAAATGCCAGTTGACATGATCCGTGCCGACAGACAGCCGATCACAGCTGTACTCGCTGTCCACGCTGTAGCTGCTGGTGATCACTGGAATCACTGGCGTTGGCTGATTCACAGGTCTCTGCTGACGTCAGAACCGGTCAGAACGAAGGCGCGCTCGGTATGATAAAATGGCGCAGTGTTTGAAGTGAACTTCCTGTTACTTAAAAAGAGTTTAGCGGTGGTAAATACTTATTGTGTTATTAACTTAAAACACTTATTAGTATACTGATTAAGATGTCAATATATATTACTTTCAGAATAAAGTGCGTAGTCTTTTCTGGTTCATCGTCGTAAGAGAAGTAACTGTTTCAAACAGTTGTGTGCAGAAATGTTGTTTTCCTAGCCGCTGTGATCAACTGTTAATGTTTGCTAAGTACAAACACCAGCCAACGTAGGAAAGTACATCGCCGCAAGTTTTACATGGCGTGAGTACAGAACAAATTCTTTTTCAGTGTTACTTTAATTAATATCAATAATGTGTTCAGAGTTTTAGTTCTCATTCCAACTCATACGTTATGTTTGGGTTCATTATATTACAATACAGTTATAATAATGGTCAGTGTTCATGTTCGGAATGAATATATTGTGTTCTGCAAAACCGCTGTCATCCATGGTGTAACATAGTGTTCAAACTGTTTGTTCCTTTGTGAGCATTGTATAAATTTTCCCAAGTATTTCTTTCTTCACCTGAGCATATTCATTTCATATTATTTGCTACACTGATCATGAAGTTTGTAAGGTATGATCCTGTGAAATCCAAGATTTTTTTTATTGCTAGTGGGGTGGGACTAAGTCCCTTGTATTGCGGCCACTTCTGGCCTATTGTACCAGCCGCAGATGATAGGTGAGGGTGATTGTGGAGCAATTGGTGGAATGAAGATTCACAGGGGAAGCCGAAGTACTCAGAGAAAACCTGCCCCAGCGCCTCTTTGTTCACCCCAAATCCCACTTGACCAGACCTGGGATCAAACCCAGACCACCGTGGTGGGAACCCAGCGACTAACCGCTTGACCTGTGGCACGGCTCTGAATTCCAAGATAGTCTTGGTCTCTTCATCATTGTTATGGTTATCCTTATCCTTATAGTCCATTTGGTGAATAACAGAATGCTGGCTGTGGAAGGTGGAAACTCAGTCTTTCTGTGATGATTTCTTTGGTAGACTATCTAGTGAAGGTCAGTGGTGGTGTAAAAAAACACATCTTTTCTGCTTCAAATTCTGGGGTACCTTTGGTTTAGAATCCGAATTCCACTAGCATAATTAATTGTTGCTCTTGATATGTTTTCTGCAGGTATAATGTTGTATCAGTTGACAGTTGTGTGTCAAAATTTGTTCCCATTTTACCATTAATTTTATTGGACTCTTGTAACTTTATGCAGTTATCATTTTTCAGTTCATTTCAATACAAATAAATGCCTTAAATCACATTGACAGCTTGATGCACATAACAGTTCTAAATACTGATACTCAGAACATTGCTATGACTCCATATTATTGTACAAACCTAGTGTCTTCAAGTACTGAACTGCATGATTTTAATGTTCATGATTCTGCATAGAAATGTGTTTATGGGAATTGTGAACATGGTGCAGTAAGACCATTCCACATAAACCCTGTTTAAAAAAAAGAGGTAAAACTATCCCTGTAACAGGCCGTGGAGGTCCATAGGGTTGTGAAGCGTCAAGGCTCCCACATTTTCTAGGCAGTCAGCTCACAGATGGTAGTGAGGCTGTCAGCCTTACTGACTGGCTGCCCTTTACCCCCAAGATGACTTCTGGTACTTATTTCTGTTAGAGACTGAGTCGACCTTAGGGCCACAGTGTGGCTGGAAGAATTAGGTCAATTGAAGAAATCTGATTATCTTATCGAGAATTGAACCTACAACCTTCCGGCTTGTAGCATATTGCCTCAACCAACTATGCTACCACATGCCTGTAAACCCTGTTTACTGTGGAGTAATACAGTATGCACATACTTGTAATTCATTATAAGCCAGAAATATGGTAGTGTATTATTAACCGTTTAATGCCTGAAGTTCAGCCAAATGAAGTTTGGAATTACTGAGTTTCTGGGCTTTGTCCAATGTCTAGTAACCTAAGAGAACGCAACGTTTCAAGAATTGGATCTGTTTCTACCCTCAGGTGAAAGGGCAGGAAGGCACCTACCCATTTAGGTCCATTAATTAGAGCTAGACTCAACTGTTGGACCTGCTGAAATATTGATCCTTTTAGAATATTAGACAATGGACAAAGTCCAGAGCCTCAACATTCCTACTTCACAGAACACACACTGCATCTCCAGTACAAAGTCTATAGGGAAATAACTGATATTTATTGTGAAAATCATATGAAACGCATAATACAATGTCTGAGAAAAATGCAGGGCTTTTGAATGTTAAGGCAGGTGGTAGATCTCATGAAACAAGTGACTGCGTATGATCACACTTGAGAGGAGAATGCAAGGGGAAGTACTAGTGTGGGGGGCACCTCTTACAGTTGCCGAACATTCGACCGAGTGGGCTCATCCATATTTGTGACTTTGCCCAGGAAGAGAATAAGATTTCTGAGTACATGCCATCAATTGTTGTGCAGGGCTGTACATTTAGTTTAGTGTGCTTTAAAGAGCCAGTTATTCAGCTTAAGGGCAGTTGATTTCTACTGTATTGTTCTGTCCTGAGCCAACTAAATCTAACCCACCACATAAAAGTGTACCATTTTCTTAGGATCCATTTTGGTTACTGTTCTTCCATCCATATGTTGGCCTCTGAAATGGCTTCTTGCATGATTATCACCAGAATTTGTGTATGTGATCTGCAGTTCCCACAGTAGTGAAAATTCATACTGTGGTCTTCTTCATTATGAGATGGTGTAGTTTGGTAGCTGGAGACCAGGTTTCAGAGGAACTTACTGTTTCCATATTCTGATCCTGGAGAACTGTGAAATAGCCTAATATGAACTGTCTCAATAATGTGGCCCTTTGATAGGAAGAGTCTGCGCATCTCCAGCATGCACTGTTCAGAACCACTGCTAAAATACATCCCTTTCGACATGATCATGAGCTTCAAGATCACACCCTGTGTGTCTGTGATCAGTTCCCTTATCCTGTCAGCTGTTCTATATTTCAAGTAGCTGTATCCCAGTAGGTTCCGCTGTGGAAATTGCATACTCATTTCCCATTTCCTCTGTTATCTGAGTTACGTGTCCAGTCCATAGTAATCTTTTTAGTTTAGTTCACTATAGTGACTGGAAGATCGGATAAATAATGCACTTCATTGTGCTATGGTATTTCTATTCCCTGTCATAGCTCTAAATATTCAGTAACATGCTGTTAGATTTCTTAAAATGACTACGTAGGAACAAGTATTGCTGTCTCTTGGAACCAAAATTTCTGACTTTTTGAGCCATAATTGCTATTTTTTGGTACCAAAATTTCCATCCTTTGGAACCTGTATTGCTGCCTTTCAGAACCAAAATTGATGCCCTTTGAAACCAGTATCACTGTCCTTTATTTTGAAGAAGAAAACTTTAGTCTTCCACATGCATTTATAATATATAAAAGGAACTATTTTTTTTCATTGGCGCTACAGCCCTCATTTGGGTCTAGGCCTACCTCCATGAAACTCTCCGTTTCACTTCGGTTTTACTAGATCTTAGACATATGGTAGGACTCCT